GCAGAGGGTCTCTATATATATATATATAATATTATAGTATTTTCACCACCATCGAGCTATAATCGATGGGCAGGCCCCTATTGGGCAACCTCTGATCAGATGGTGAGTTATATACCGAGCCTACTATGGCTGAGTGCCTATGAGCGAGCCCAGAATGGCCGAGATACAAAGCCTAGTATGGCCGCGCGCCTATGAGCGAGCCTACTACGGTAGAGCAGTTAAACATACCGAGCCTTATAAGGTTGAACATCTATTTTATTTACTATATTGAGAGAGTTGAGTCAGTATCAGCAGGTAATCATATCTTCAGATTATCTTTGACTCTCCGTTACTTTCAATTATTATATTATCAGTTCAGTTTCAGCTTTCAGTTATTCTGTTGCCTTACGTACTCGGTACATTATTTCGTACTGACGTCCCTTATGCCGGAGACATATTTCATGCCTGCAGGTCCTCATTGACAGTTGGACAGACCCTCCCAGCAGACAAAGCCAAACATCAACTTGGTTGGTAAGCTCCACTTCCTCGGAGTTACCAGGTCTAGACCTTGGAGTCCATTTTATATACACAAATTTTATGGGTAAGTCGAGGCCCTATCCCGACCATGGTACAGTTTACTTATCTCTAGAGGCTTGTAGACGAGTCCTATATATTTTGTATATCAGTAGATGTTCATGGCGGCCTCATCAGCCTGCATAGTTATATATATATATATATATATATATATATATATGAACTTTTTGGTATGTTTACCCCTCATATGAGAGAGTCGTTATTCTCAGGTGATTCATAACATGGCCTCATCGGCCTAGGTTGAGGGTTACCCCGCCGGAGCTCACAGTTACAGAATGGTACGCTCGGGCCGAGTATGGCACCAGGTGCCGGCCACGCCTCTTCAGGTTTGGGGCGTGATAGTCAATTTGGTCAAGGGCGATACAATAGATGAGAAACCTTGCACGAAGCGGCGGTAATAACCGGCCAACCCAAGAAAGATCCGAATCTCCATAGCTGAGGACGGTTTAGGCCAACTCTGAACCGCCTCTATCTTCTTCGGATCCACCTGAATCCCCTCACTGGACACCATGTGCCCCATGAACGCCGTTGAACTAAGCCAAAACTCACACTTGGAGAACTTGGCTTAAAGCTTCTCCTTTCTTTACCACTGCAACACAATCCTCAAATGCCGGGCATGCTCCTCCTGACTACGAGAGTACACCAGGATATCATAAATGAATACTATGACAAACGAGTCAAGATAAGGCTGAAATACACTGTTCATCAGATGCATGAACGATGCAGGGGAATTGGTCAACCCAAAAGACATCACAAGGAATTCATAATGACCATAACGGGTCATGAATGATGTCTTTAGAATATTTGAGTCCCGAATATTCAACTGGTGGTACCCAGACCTCTAATAAATCTTTGAGAACACCCTCGCTCCCTGAGGCTGGTCAAACAGATCATTAATGTGCGGCAAATGATGCTTGTTCTTGATTGTGACTTTGTTCAACTACCTATAATCAATGCACATTCTCATAGTACCATCCTTCTTCTTCACAAACAGAACCGGTGCATCCCAAGGTGACACACTAGGCCTAATAAACCCCTTATCAAGGAGGTCCTGAAGCTGCTCCTTCAATTCCTTCAACTCAGCTGGTGACATACGGTATGGAGGAATATAAATGGGCTGAGTGCCCGGCATCAAGTCAATACCAAAGTCAATATCCATGTCGGGCGGCATGTCCGGCATGTCTGTAGGAAACACTTCTGGAAAATCTCGTACCACTGGAACAGAATCAATAGTAGGGGTATCTGCACCAACATCCCTCACAAAGACCAAATAGGATAAATAACTGTTCCCAACCATCCGATGGTCCTTTTAGTATGAAATCACTCTGCTGGGAACATAGTCTAGAGAAACCACTCCACTCAATCCTTGTTACAAACGTCACGATCTTAGCGTGACAATCTAGAACAGCATGACATGGAGACAACCAATCCATACCCAATATCACGTCGAAATCAACCATTCTAAGCAATAAGAGATCAACCCTAGTCTCCAAACCCCCAATGGTCACCACACACAAACCGATATATACGGTCCACAACAATAATATCGCCCACTAACGTAGATACAAGAATAGATAAGACTAGGGATTCACGGGGCATATCCAGACAATGAGCAAAATACGATGATGCATACGAATAAGTGGAACCAGGGTCAAATAATACAGAGGCATCCCTGTGGCAAACTAAGACAATACCTGTGATCACTACATTTGAAGCAATAGTATCTAGTCTAGTAGGAATGGCATAGAATCGGGCCTGACCACCACCTGACCGGCCTCCCCTTCTAGGGCCACCTATAGCTGACTGAGCCCCACCCCAA